CCCCAAAACCCCAAAACCCCAGCAGATAGTTATTTATTGTTGAATTATAGCCAAAGTATATTTAATAATTAGTTTTTACAATAAGGTCACTTTACTTTTAATTTTAAGATATAATAATTAATATTTAGTTTTGAACTTTATATATTGTCTCATATTTGCTCAATATAGATTTACCATTCAAGCATCAGTCTTATTCCAATTGAAATTGATCAATTTAACAGTCATAATGGTTTGTGGGTTTAATATTATCTTCTGATAAACTTACAAGGTCCTCTTAAATATTATGTTTAATTTTAGAAAGTGGAGTAAGATTGTTCAGCTTCCTGAGTTTGGTTTAAGCCATATTATTCTCTTGAGCTTAAGATTTCATGCTATTTATAGCTTTAATATTTTCATCTTCACTATCAAAGCTCTTTCTTGATAGCTTTTGTGATGATATACTTGAATGCTTCCTTTCTTAGTTTGATTTTTATGAGGCAATTATGAACTCCTAATTTGTTTGTTATATTTCTTGAATCTATTTTTCTTCTTCCTCTTCTTCTTCGTAACTACTAGAGGAGTCATCATCATCATTGTTAGGGATTGCATCTGCATCCTATCCTTGCATTCTCATTGTATTTCGCATTAAAAACTCTTGCAATACATCTTATTCTGGGTTATCAGAGGCTTGACTATCAGAAAACTCATCATCCTCCTCTTATTCATCAGACAGTCCCTCATTAGGCCTTAAATTATTGTTGACCTAATCATCGTTGGAATTTTGGTGAGGATGGTTTTGAGCTCTTCTATTTGGAAATAATTGATCTCTCTGCTCATTAATAAGATTCAACCTTTACTGTAGTCTCTCATTCAGCTGATTCTGCTGCATCTCCTCATGCATTAATTCCTGATTGATATGTACAAGATCAGCAAAGTTTTCATCATTATGAAGCATCACGCTAAATGCTTCAGATAAAGCCACTGAGTTTCTGGAAACAAAAAATCTGAATAAAATCGACTAAATCACAATAAAAATGGTGGAATAGACTTACAAGTACACTCATTTCAAAAATGAGATGTAGTAGGACTGTATAGGTACAAGGATATGTTAAACTGTAAGAAAGATACAGAAAGTTTGCAATCGTAAATTCAATAATCATAATAGAGTTATACTAATAAATAGGCATTAGTAAGTTGCACGTTAAGATCACGAAAATGTGACAGCACAGATATCTAAATTTCATAAAGAAGCTGTCAAGCTGTACAGCTAATTGTATAGATTGGGTAAAATAGTAAAAGTATGCAAAGCATCCTACCATCTTTAATAAATTCGATATTTTAAGTATCTTATCAGGCCTTTGGTGCCATATGTACAAGAACTTTTTGAAATAGTGAGCTAGGAATGAACTTGTACCGCCAACTGTTAACTAAGTCATTATTGTTTAAAACAATATGGGGAATTTTATTTAATACATGTACTTAGCCATAGAATCTGGAGGCATTGGGTATCTCCTCAAATTTATTTCAAACGGATAACCCTTGTAAGGCTTTTCATTTTCAATTTGCTCAAGTAATGGAATAACCTAGAAAATCTAGACATTTTATTTCACTGGACCAAATATCTCATACATAACGTTCGAGTAAAATATCTCATTTGACATTATAATACCTAACTGGGTGATGCCATATGATAATAGGTTAGGATATATGTCCATTACTGGGTCTTGTTTAAACTCAAAGTAAAGTGCGTTATCTATTGGCGTATCAACACATTTTTATAGATTCAAATTCCTGATAGACTTATCTTACTCATTACTTTTATAACTAGAGATGCAAAAGTATTATTAATCGAGCATAAATTGCTGAAAAAATTATTGCCCAATTGAAAATCCCTCTTTCATTTGAGATCGATGATCCCTTACAAAATCCTGAACACTTAGCTAGTTACTCTGCAGCCTCATGAAGTTTAAAAAGAGATCATCTTTTTAATCTAATCCTTTGCTATAAATACTTTCATAGACATTTTTAACATTAGAATTCCACCAACCTTTAATGGGATCTCTCTAATAAAAGATTTACATTGATGAGAAAATTATACCTCAGCTATTAAGATAGGTTTCAAGTCGTCAGTCTTGTTAAGGAAGTTGGATCTTGCTCTTTAGATATCAATAGTATCGATATAAGTTTTAACTGAGTAGAAGCAGCTGATGTGAGCGAAGTGAAGGAACACATACAGAAGAATCAAAGTAATAAAGCAAAAATTCAAACTAAAGGTAATCCATTAAATTACTGTCTCTCGAATCAAGAAAATAAAGTAACGAAAAGTGAATTAGACTTACCTGTTGCCTATCTTATCTCTTGTTTTATTGCTCATCTTTTAGAGCTTAATGAGGCCTCTTATCTGAATTATCCGATAGTATCTGGACAGACTGATTCTTGGCCTCTGTTCTGAAGGTCTGGGTCTTCGTTGATTTCTTTCCATTTAAAAACTTAAATAATGCACTTAAAACTAATCACAAAATATTAATATGACTTAGTTATCTATTTATCATCTATATAATAAGAACGATGATTCTCTCATTTTATCCTTTAATTTATCTCATGGGGTTTTGGGGTTTTGGGGGAGCTTGGTTTGTTGAAGCTGGTTGGGCTTCTGG